GGAACTGAAGAATTAAAGAGCGTTAAAGAAGATCGATAAAGGCAGGAGGGTGAATCTCAGAAAATGTGTCACAAACAACAACAAAAAAGAAACAATTAGTTATATTTTACAAAAGGATGAAGGATATTTTTGGATCATTAAGTCTGTTCGCATTGATCAAAACAGAACAAAATTCAACCTATAAAGTGCAAGATGGAAAAATAAAGATTTCCTTTCAGAACAATACAAGTGTCATGTTTATTCTCTCTTTACATAATTTTGCATGTTAATTTGTATATTTCTATCACTCAAAGGAAGGAAAATCACAATAGGCTGAATTAAATGTCATTAGTTCATTATATAGTATAACAACAAGTCAGAATAAATATGATGTGTACCATTTTATAATAATACATCTTTCACACTGAATGACGTTAAGAGTAGTATTTCACCCCTATATTCACATGCACAAAAGATAATTAAGTATTGTTTTTATGTATATAAAACCTTTATGCTGGTTTAATTAGATGTGGATAATAAAATCAAACGTCACATAATTTTTTTTCAATAACCCAGTGAATTTTCAACAGACTATTTTTAAATGACTTGAAAATAGGATGATTATTAAAATGCTCTGCACATGCAGTGGGTGTTTGTGTGGTGGGTTGGGTTAGGCAAAGCACCAATTAATTCATAATTTGTTCCCACAACTTATTAATTTGTGACCAGGTTTATTAATTCAATCTCTCATTTGAGGTCAATCATGGCTGTGCTGTACCAATTCGCTCCCGTACCGAGGTAAATTTAACTAAGGCAAATGAACAAATCACATGATTGACCTAAAGCATGCGGATGAATTAATAAACCTGGACACAAATTAAAAGGGAAACAAAACAAGAGAATGAATTAAGTGATGGGTAATTCATATTTTGACCAATTGCCCTTTTTTTATTTTATTTTTCTATCTAATATACCTATACTGTATAAAAAAAAAGTATACACAATTCCTTCAAGTTCACACAAATCAATTTAAACTTAATTGTTTTTACAAATTTTAAGTGGATTGAACATAAAACAATGAAGTTGTAAAAAAAAAAAAAAAAAAAAACCTCAAGAATGGTGTTGATTCAACTTATTTTAAATAAGCAGTTTGAACAGGCAGCAAAAATCTTTTTATGAGTATAGCTACATACAGTGAATCCGGAAAGTATTCACAGCACTTCACTTTTTCAGCATTTTTTTTATTTTTTTTTTTATTTTACAGCCTCATTCCAAAATGGACTAAATTCATTTATTTCCACAAAATTCTTCACACAATACCCCATAATGAAAATGTAAAAAAAGATTTTTTGAAATTGTTGCAAATTTATTAAAAATAAAAAAAACCTGAAAAATCAGATGTACAAAAATATTGCTCAATATTTTGGTTATGCACCTTTGGCAGCAAGTAAAGCCTCAGGTCTGTTTGGATATGATGCCACAAGTTTGGCACACCTGACTTAGGGATTTTTTGTCCATTCCTCTTTGCAGTATCTCTCAAACTCTATCAGGTTGGATGGGAAGCAATGGTGTACAGCCAATTTCAGATCTCTCAAGAGATGTTCAATTGGATTTAAGCCTGGGTTCTGGCTGGGCCACTCAAGGACATTTACAGAGTTGTTGTGAAGCCACTCCATTGATATTTTGGCAGTGTGCTTTGGGTCATTGTCCTGCTGGAAGATGAATCGTCGCCTCTGTCTGAGGTCAAGAGCACTCTGAAGCAAGTTTTCATTCAGGATGTCTCTGTACATTTGCTGCATTCATCTTCCCCTCTATCCTGACTAGTCTTCCAGTTCCTGCTGCTGAAGTACATCCCCACAGCCTGATGCTGCCACCACCATGCTTCACTGTAGAGATGGTAGTAGCCTGGTGATGAGCGGTGCCTGGTTTTCTCCAAACGTAACACCTGGCATTTACTCCAATGTCCTAAGTCCAGATGCCTTTTGGCAAACTCCAGGCCGGGAGTGGCTTCCGTCTGGCAACTCTTCCATACAGGCCTGATTGGTGGATTGCTGCACAGATGGTTTTCCTTCTGTAAGTTTCTCCTCTCTCCACAGAAGAATGCTGGAGCTCAGAAAGAGTTATTGATCACTTCCCTGAGGCCCTTCTCCCCAATCACTCAGCTTAGATGGTTGGCCAGCTCTAGGAAGAGTCCTGGTGGTTCCAAACATCTTCCACTCAGACATCCCAAGTTGGGAAAAGTCATTTCCGGGGAATACAGAGTTGATTTGCGAGAGGTAGCGGGAGATTGGGTATCTGAGTAGGGGGGTACCTGAGTACGTGAGACGTACCTGAAGAGCAGTGGAGATGAGTTGCGCAGGACGCTCATACCTGAAGAGCGGTGGGGGTGAGGGGTGTGCAACATATTTAAGGACCGGGCGGGAGACGTGCAATTTCCGGATTGATTATCATTCATTTGCAGGCATCCAGGAGGCTCTATGCATTTGCAGGATAGTCCCGCAACCTTCGGGAGACTTGGGATGTCTGTCCACTTACGTATGATGGAGGCCACTGTGCTCATTGGAACTTTCAGAGCAGCAGAAATTTTTCTGTAACCTTCCCCAGCCTTGTGCCTTGAGACAATCCTGTCTCCGAGGTCTACAGACAATTTCTTTGTCTTTATGCTCGGTTTGTGCTTTGACATGCACTGTCAACCCTGGGACCTTTTATAGACAGGTTTATGCCTTTTCAAATCATGGTCAATTAACTGAATTTAACACAGGTGAACTCCAGGTAAAATGCTGAAACATCTGAAGAATGATCGTTGGAAACAGAATGTACCTGAGCTCAATTTAGAGCTTTACAACAAAGGCTGTGAATACGCATGTACATGTGATTTTCAGGTTTTTTTATTTTGCATAAATTTGCAACAATTAATTTTTTATTTTTTTCACATTGTCATTATGGGGTATTGTGTGTAGAATTTTAAGGAAATAAATTATTTTAGTCCATTTTGGAATAAGGCTGTAACATAAAAATATGGAAAAGTGAAGCGCTATGAAGACTTTCTGGATGCACTGTCGATGCTTATGCAGTACCAAAACACACCATCCTGCGCCTGTCTTTTCCTTATAGCACACATCATCTTCCAGCAGTCAAATGGCAACAAATTCATGCTGTTGCTTGATTGATAAAAACACTTTACAACAAAAACAGTGTGCTTAAGAAATAATGGATCTGAATTAATTTTGACAAAAGGAAACAGGAACGGCTAGTGTGTACATATGGAATAAAATGGTGAATATAAACACCACAAGAATTGATAGAGTTTCATGTAAACACACAACCAAATCTTTCAATAGGAACTATTTTAATCAGAACATTAAAAGGTGTGCATGTAAACGTGGCTAGTGATAATAAAAGAAAGCACTAGACTGAAATAGGTGATTGAGAAAGCCAGCAAACAGGCCGCGTGACGCATCTCTGTGTTTTGTGCCTGCTGTGACGCTCGTGTTTTCTCTGAATGAGATTTCTGAAAGCTGATCAATGGACTGCATGTATTTGGGGTAACGCTGTCTAATTTAGGTCACTTCCGCAACACAGGCTCGATAAGCTAAAAATAGCTTGGCTTGGGAAAAGGCACGGTTTGTTCTGACAAGGTCTGGTCATGGGCCTGGCAGCGTCACGTGGGGAATGATCGTCACTTTTGTGGCTTATGATCGTCAGCGTGCGTGTTTGTGGAGGATTCAGAAGTCACGCTGACTAAACAACACGAGTCCTGAAGCATATACTGTACGTCATAGACTGAGGGAAGCCCACATTTACACAAGCTCAAAAGCAAACAAAGGCCTGTTAGGAATATTTCATCAAATACAGAGCATTTTCACCCCCATTCTCTCAATGAATCATTATTTTTGATCAATAAAAAGGGCACAATAAAAAGTAAAGGATCAGATAACTAAATACTTTACATAAAAAAAAAAATAAGTACTGTGCTCTGCATAAATGAATACACCTCATTTTCAAAATGAATATTTTATTCCATTTCTCAGTGAATATAGGTATTATTTTTTTGTGCATTTGAACAAAACAAATGTATTGAATGGATATTAGGGTATATAAATTTTGGACTGCTATCATAAGTTATTACGACCGTTAACATAAGCTCCAGACTTGGCTTCAGTACTACTGGCTAATCTAATGTATGTGCACACATATAATATTGTAAAGCTTCCGTTAGAAAATATTAATTTAAATAAGAGATTTTTGAGGGGTGCACTCATATATGTTGAGCACTGTATGTGTGTTAATTAATGAATGAAAATGAAAATAATTTTTTTAATAATATTATACAATTATTGTTTATAAATTCTACTATATAAAATATGTATTTGAAAATATAAATTGATATTTATAAAATAAGTATTACACATTTCTAAACTAAAATATCAAAATTAATTAAATATGCATTTATCAAGATATTATTGTAAATAATTAATATTAATTAAATATTTATAGAAATAAGCTTTTATTATTTAATTACATTTATTTATTATAATGAATTATATAAATAAAATATTTTCCAGATATATGAATTAATAAGCTACATGTATATGTGTTTGTCTGTGTATATAATATTCTTTTTAACAAAACATAAAAAATGTATTTAAAAAATCTTCATAACGTAAAATTACACAATACAAAATATACACAAAAATATGTGATTAATAATGAAAATGTATGCAAAATATGACAAAACTATATTATTAATTAAATTTTGTATTCCATTACTAAACTTATATATATATATATATATACATATATATATATTTATTTATTTTTTTATAATTAATATACATAAATTAAATTGTGTATAAAATTTTAAGCCAGCAAGAAGAAAAAAAAATCAACGTTTGTAAGTATGTATTTGTTTAGGTTTGTGTTTGCATGTATAAAAATAAAATAAAATAAAATAAAATAAAATAAAATAAAATAAAATAAAATAAAATAGTCTACAAAGTTTTACTGGTGTATTATTGTACCTTGTTCAGTTCCACATATTTCTTGGCGTCTCTGGCAGGATTTAGCGTGGTGCTTTTGTTTATCAGTGTGCCTTTGGGTCCACGGAGCTTCATGCGCTGGTGTTGAGGAACCAGTGAGCCGGTCTGAGTCAGTTTACACTGGAACATTTGATGGATGAGCACGTTCTCACTCGCTGTTCAGATGAGGGGGAAGAAAGAAACCATGAGAGGAAATAAACACAAAGCTACATGTGTTTAAAGCTTAATTACAGCAGGCGCCAGAGCTAATTGTTCCCCTCATTTACACTACCCCCCTCAAAACACAACAGCGGCCCATTCAAAACCTTCTGACATGCTGAACATTTTATAATTGTTTTAAAGATAAACAAGCTGGCATTTTCCATGCATCCATTATATATATCAAACAATGTTGTAAACCTTTAACAATTGACTATGGAAGCCAATGGTTACAAAAAAACAAACAAACAAACAAACAAACAAACAAACAAACAAACATACTGTCATGTAATAATAGTAAATGGTAAAAATGTTCATTTTTGGGTGAACTAACCCTTTAAAATATTAAATTCAAAACTGCCTTGGTAGTTAATGCAGCCTTGATAAACTTAAGAGACTTGCTTCAAAAACTATAATTTTGGTTGTGATGACAATTTATTTAGTTGTAGTAACTATAATTATAACAAAATAATTGTATCAGTAGCTGTTGTTCCTTACTTTTCATAACAAACAAGATGTTTTGAGGAAGAACATCCTTGTTCCTGTCCAGTGATCCGGTGAGGTCATAGGTCATCTGCAATACAAGACACAAACACAAGTTCAGTGCTAATAATAGCTATCGGTCTCAGGATGACAGGCTGTTGACTCTCCAATGGGCTTCTCAGAAGTGTGTGACTGAGGCTTTGTGTTTGTGTGTGAGGCACATGAGCATGACCTCAGCATGTACACATGTGAACTCGTGGTTTCCAGTAACTCACCTTGCCGGCAAAGTGTGTGACGGTAAACGATGGCCCCTGGTCTTTGGGCGGGGGGTTCCCATTGCCATCCTTGGTTGTGAGGGAGACGGCGTCTGTAGCGGAGGAATCCAGCTGGATCTGGAGGCGCTTGTAAAGGTTGACTTCACATGGCCTGAGGGACTGACTCTCCTCATCAATGATACACAGCACTCCCTGAGGCTTCTGAAACTCATACAACACACACAATGAAGTCTTTTGCGGACAAAGTAACATAGGAATATAAGTAATATAAGTCAATATTTCTATGGCTCTTTATAATATGTCACGATTGAGTTTTAATTTGCCTGTTGCACTTTTTGAATTTGGGGAACTTCCACCCAAACAAATGTTGTGCTCAAAATAAATAGTTGTGCTGCCATCTAGTAGCTAAGATGGTAATTGGAACACTGAATTAAGCATCAGCACACACTGAAACAATCAACGCAGACTCATTATTGATACGTACCCCTGCATACATTTATAGACAGTGTGAAATACATCTCAGGAGGTACGTTTTTGCCAGTGGCTGCTGTGTACACTTTTTCCGATTTCAAATTTCTCTTGCGAGTGCCATTCGCACCTGTTCTTCTCGCAAAAATTCACTAGAGGCTGCTGTCGTCTGACTGACTAAAACCCCCACACACCCCCTTCCCTAAACCCAACCGATTATGTTTTCAAAAGCACAGATTGACCTGCTCAGTTTGACCGACAGTGTTTTAAAAAGCAACCCAGAAAAAGCAAAGCCTTTGTGGACACCTGATTGTTTACCACATTTTCAGCTCTTACCACATTGTCACCCTGTTATTTACTTGCTTCATTTATTTTTTGCCTTTTGTTTTTGTTTTAATTGCTTTCTGGAATCATTCTTCACCGTACTCAAATCTTGTCATTGTGGTCATCTCCTCTCTGTGTCTTAAATCTGCCAACGTATGAGGTGAGCCATTGGGCAAACTGGTAACAGTGGAAAAGCCATCCACATGGAGGTAGGCAGTTAGCTGGTAGCATGAAAAAAACAGCCTTTGGTGGTATTATAACACCCCGTATCATTTGTTTCTAATACGGAATGTGGCCATACTAAGCTCTGGCTATATAATTCGCACTTTCCAAATATGCATATAGGTATAGGTTTTCACAATGAGTCTGTGTTGGAAACAACTGTTTTTGAATTGCACAACCTATTGTGCAATTTCCACAAGAATGTGTATGCTTGTTTACAATCATGTCACATGAGCACAACGATTTTGATTTTTTCTTTTTTTTTTTTTTGTCCATATAGACGCGCTTAAATCAAACAATCTCAAACAATAATGTGCAATAAATAATCTATATACAAAGTAAAAACTGTATTTAATAATTTTTAAAGGGGTGTGTGGGGGGGGGGGGGTGTTATTTCCTATATACTGAAAGTCATTTGAAAAATTTTAATTCAAGTAAGATACTTTTTAATAGTTTGTTAATGGTCAATGGATGAACTGTGGGGAGAATATTGTCACTTTATTGCATTAAAACACTTTCACTTACCGCATTTACTCCAATAACTCTCACAAAGCATCAAGAGCAGAATATGTGAACTGAGTGGTATGATTTAGATTTTTTTAAGAGCAGATTTTTAAATTCACACAACAGATATAGTTTTGAGGATTATGTGTACTCTACCAACCTTGTTTCCACATGGAGAGTTAAATGTAAATAATAATTTTATGTTGGCTAGTAGACACGTTTATTAAAATCAAGTGGCAATAATCTAAGTATATAAATATATACAAAAGACATATTCTTTAATTTACAGTTATTACACATATATGCTTACTCTTAACCAAACATAATAATGGGAATTTTGTTTGTTACGACATTGATAGGATCTCTTGTTGTCAAGTACACACTAGGCTGCATATTGTTATTAATGGCGTTAATCTCTTTTGAATTACTATAAACATTCACACTATTATAGTACCTTATTTTTTTACCAGTTTGATGGAGGCTACACTAAACGTTTGCCATTTATTTTAATTCAAAACACTCCCTCATTGTGCTGAACTCACCTTGTGTGAGATGGATAAAAAAACTCATCACTATTTACTGATCTTTAAAATAATGCACTGTATTTAAGGGGTTGTTCACACAAAAAAATCTGTCATTATCATTTACTCATCCTCCACTTATTCCAACCCTGTTTCTCTTTTTCTTTTAAACAAAAAGGAAATACATTGAAGTATGTAGAAAACAGCTATCACTTCCATAGTTTGTTGTTGTTGTTTTTACTATGAATGACAATGGTTGCTTTTTTCCAACATTTCTCAGAACATCTTGTTTTGTGTTCAATAATAACATTGATAAAGAAATGCATAAAAGTACGTCCAATCTACAATACGCCACTTGGTGAGAAAATGTAGATTTTTAGCTGAACTATTTCTTTACATTTGAACATTAGAGGTTAGAAAATGCTTTGATAGCAAAGCAGAAAGTCTTGCTGCTCCATTTTGCTCACATTCTGTTCTCTAATCATAATGCATAGGAGAAAAGGTTAATACAATGCTAATCGTGTCTCAGCAGCTTTACAAAAAAACACATTATCATTGTGAATCAAGGTCTGTACATTCAGATCTACAGAATGCTGTTACTTTCAATGAATAATCAGTTTGGTTCAATACAAATAACACCCTTGAAGGATGTAATTTACTATACTGACTACAACTAAGCAAGATGTATCTATTTGTATAAGGGATAATATACAAAAATAAACAACTTTAGAGGACTTGATACTGTTTATGATTAAGGAAAGCACACATTTGTCTGTATGTGATGAAAAATGCTGTGTCAATTGCTCTGGACAAAAATTAGAAGTCATCTCATGACTCATAAAACAGGCACATACTGCATGACAAACAACAGAGTCATGGTCTAATAGACTGGCTTCATCACAAATGTGTGACACCTAAGGGGAATTCAACACTCCTGGATGTATGTTAGTCTTTATAGGCAAGTCATATTCATTATGGAGTCAGTAAAAGCGGAGACTGCAGTAGCAAAACTGAAAGAGAAAAAGCAACAGAGTTTCCTCTGGATGAGAAAGATGCTATAGGTTTTTGGAGAACTTTCCTCTGTCCATTCATATATATATATATATATATTTGAGTCCTGATCGGGAGGTAACGTTGATTTGCAGAGACGGTCTATAAATCACTAAATGGCCTATGCTATTTTATATATGCTTTTTTTTTTTTTTTTTAAACTAATAAACTTTCAAGTTTTTATGGTTGAACTGAAATGACTTAATGAGTTTAAAAAAAAAAAAAAACATTTTAAAGTCAAAGTTATCAGCCCCTTTAAGCTATTTATTTTTTCAATAGTCTACAGAAAAAAAAACAGCGTTATACAATAAGTTGCCTGATTCCCCTAACCTTCCTAGTTAACCTAATTAACCTAATATATAGCATATACTGTATATACTGTCATCATGGCAAAGATAAAATAAATCAGTTATTAGAGATGAGTTATTAAACTATTATGACTTCAACCATATATATATATATATATATATATATATATATATATATATATATATATATATATATATATTTGTCCCTGTTACATTAAGAGAATCTTGAAAAATTGAAATCATGATTTTATTTACATTTGTTATTGTAGTGCTGTCAATTCTGTTTGAAATAGTGATAAAGGACTACAAAATCAATAAAGCAAACACGAAAAATCTATAAGCTGCTGGAGCACTTGTTTTTTATTTTTATTTTGTAAGACTAAGACCAAATCCCTGACTCTCTCCAGGTCTGATAAAGCCTGCTCCTAATATGTACCTGGAAAAAGAAGTCCAGCACTGCCGTCTGGCTGCCGAGGGAGCGGAGCGTTTCCATGGCGACCCCCTCCTGCAGACATTCATGCTGCTCCTGCTGGAAGAGCACCTCTGCTGTGAACTGATGGATCCGCTCATTCACCATGTTGATGCACAGCTGAGGACAGAACAACACCACAGCCATCATTAAAACTACAGTACGCTCTCACTTCAGACGGCCACTCTTAATACTGAAAGTGTAGTTTACACTAGTTTATATGTGAATAAAAAGTGTGAAAAGTGAAACACTACAGGAGTTTAAAGCCAACAAAGAGCCTTGCCTAAAGACTTACATTGGCATTTACAGATAAAATATTTACAAACAATTATTAATCCTGTTTTATAATGAAAATTTTAATCACAATATTTATGACTAGTTTAAGGGAAGAAGTCAAGTTTGATTTCACACAGACTTTAAAGACTCATTCCCACTAATAACGGAACACTTTAACACTTTTTTTTTTTTTTTTTTGGAAAATGGCTCATCTTACTTTACCTAAAAAAAGAAACTGAACAGAATGCTAATGGTCAAACCCGATACAATTCATTATACTAAGCTAAGCTAAAAGTGACCCTGCCAGATGGCAACTCTTATGAGCCTTTTTCGAAAAATGGTGGTGTGTTCCTTTAAATTATGGAGCCAGATCAGTCTCAAAAATAATAATGTTTCCCAGTACTGGGTTGCAGCTGGAAGAGCATCTGCTGTGTAAAACATGTGCTGGATAAGTTGGCGGTTCATTATGCTTTGGCGACGATAGACTAATAAAGGGACTAAGCTGAAAATGAATGAATGTATGAGCTAGCGGTTTATTCAGCTGTGGTGACCTCTGAAATAGAGAATAAGCCAAAGAAAAATGAATAAATGACTGAATGAATGGAAATAAATGTTGACCAAAATAGCATTATATACAATGTATTATATACAGTTTTAAGTGCAAAACATGGCAATTGAAAGTGAGAAAACAGTATTGAGTTTAAAATTGTTTTACCCAAACAATAGCAGTAAGACAGGTGGCTTTATCACCACAAAAATAACTGTCATTTGCATTAATTAGCTCTTCATCTGAGCTCTTAATGAACATGGCTGTAATAAGTGCGTTCCTGTTAACCTGTCTCGTTCACTCACAGTACCGCACGCTTCAGTGAGCGGGTTTATTCCAGGAATTCATCTCGACAACCCAGTTACTGGACTCATTTAAATCATTTATCACCATAATCCTGCTGAGATGAAAGTGAAAAAAAAACAAGGAACCCTAATGGAGGGAGTCTAAAAAGCGAAAGCAGAAACCATATAAGGCATACTCCAAGTGCTTAACACAACACAGAAGACCAGAGGCTTTTTCCGTGTGGACAAAAGTGACAGTTTTTGATGGAAAAAGAGCAGATGGTGGCTTTTTCCCAAACAAAAGACGTCTTTAGTCATATTTCAATTTCAAACCTGTTGATTTATGATTTTTGTAGCGCTCTCAAAACAGCTTATGTCATATATGATGGAGCGGTTTCGATCAGAAGCAGTCCATTGGAAGGAAGCGTATAGAATATTTGTATCAACAAAGTCGTCTTCCAAGTTTAATGTGGCAACACACTCTGGATGAAGAACAAACAGCAACAGTAGAAGCAAAGAAGAGGAAAGAAAACAAGCGTTTCAAAAATAAAAAAGCTGTGTGCACCTCATCAACTCCTCATCATGAGGTTTTACAACTCTACGGGATGTCATAGAAAAGACTGTCCAAATGCTGACCTGATTCCAGCACACATGACAAAACAAGATAGATTAAGAGCTTGGAGACTTCCAGAGCAGGTTGAAGCTATTCTTGGGCTTCTATGACTAAATGACAATCGTTTCCCAAAGACTACACAACACTGTCTTAATGACTCGCTAATAGTTATGAATTTGGAGTTCAGAAGTTGGCAACTTGAGCCAATTCTAAACAGCTTGACAGTGTTAAATGTGAAAAATGCCAGTGCTGCTTTCAATAAGAATTACTTTAGTTTCTAGTAGAAAAGCAGCTCTTCAGTCATCACAAATAATCTTGTGGTCAACATGTACTGTAGCACTGCACATTGGGAATCCCGAAATTGACTCCTGTAAGAAATTTTGGGGCGTGAGACTTTCAGTCTCATTAACTTGCATTTATTTTTTAGCTTATTTTTTAGGAGTTTGCACTTCTAGGGGCATGATTATGACATAGCACCTGTTGTTGGTGTCTGGGAAGTCCTCTTGCTGAAACCAGACAACAGTTCATCAAACTGGTCTTGGCTCAGTCTGAAGTACCACTAAAAGCTTTCATCTTCCAGGTATAGTTTCTGGACGAGTTGATGAACTGGGTGCATTTCTGAAAGGATCTAGTGGACTCAGACGTGGTGACGAACAAATCTACGCTGTTTTTCAGCCTTCCTAAAGCACATAAAGCACAGCTGCTGTCTCAATAAAATTCAGCTAGCCATTTAGCTATGAAACTAGAGTCACCGGGCAAACAGATGGCCCACCCATGATGCGAATCCGCATCTATTGTGAAGTAAATTTTATGTGCGAATGAAGCAAATTTGACACAAATATCACAATTTATTTGCGCATGCTGCTTCTGATGTGAACACAGCATGACAGGGTTTGCCAGCTGGTTTAAACATTTCCTGGAAAGTCAGTTAGATAAACTTTTCAGAAACAAATATTTTTATTTATTTATTTTTAATGCTGTCCTTTGATTTTGTTCTTTGATTTTTAAGGAATACTAAAAAATTAAGGCAGGAAATGACCATTTAAGTCACAATTTAAGCCGCCTTTTAGCTTTGGTTCCTTGATTTAAGTGTGGTGAGACTGACTTTATAACCATAACTGTACACAAGCGTAGAGTACAAGCTGAACTTACTGTTGATCAGCACTTCAAGCTCACTGGGGTTTCAAAAAAAAAAGTGATACTCGACATCAAAGAGTAACAAAAAGCTGACTGGGACAAAAAGCTGCGGTTGAGCAGATCAAAAAGACTACAGGTGACTGCACTCTATGTTCACGTGTAAGGATTTAGCTACATTAACTACATGCCTCAGCCTGTTTGTGAAACATACAATATATTGCTCCAGATACATTTTGTTGCACATTTCAGATGACAAGTCCACTTACAAATGTGAAATATGTTATTTAGGGGATGCTTTGTTGTGTGTTTGCATACTTCTACACGTCAACAATCTTGATTTTACATCAGGGGGTGTCTACACTCGGTCCTGGAGGGCTGGTGTCTTGAAGAGTTTAGCTCCAACCCTAATCAAACACGCCTGAACAAGCTAATCAAGCTCTTACTAGATGTACTAGAATCTTCTAGGCAGGTGTGTTGAAGCAACTGAGCAAACAAACCATACCAGAAAAGGTGTCAAAATGGATATAGGTGAGGTAAAGGTATTTGGTTACCAATCATATACACTGCTAAGCCGATTTTATTTATTTATTTTTCATTTTTATCTATTTATTTGATGTTCTGCAAAGAACTACACAAAGATAATCCTTTATTTATTGATAACATATCCCTATAAATAAGATTAATGTGAAAAAGAACAAAAGCTATTGTTGACAAATTTCCCCTATAGCATTCATTTTACCTAAACAACTGCAGTCAAATGTATGTTTTCAGCTTTCACAAAAATGTAGGCTGAAGTACATATTTCCAATGAGCCTGTATTGTATTAACAGATACCAACCATCTATATTCCTAATTCAAAGGATCTGATTCACCCAAATATGATAGTTTACTCAGTATTTCCTCACTGTCAATTGGTTCCAAAACTGCTTAAAATTTCTTTTTTTTTCTGTTGAACACTAAAAATGTTAGAGGGCTGAAATAACTTACTTTTATTATAGAAAAGACAACTACTATGGAAGTCAATGGTAACAGGTTTCCAACATTTTTCAAAATTACTTCATTTGTGTTCAGCAGAAAAAAATAAACAAACTCAAGGGTAAATAATGACAAAAATTTCAATTTTAGGTGAACTAACCCTTGGTTATTATGCTGATTACTTTCTCCATTCCTTGCACAGTTAAACTGATGGAAAACTACAATGTAGACTTTAAAAAGGCTTCAACTTTAAAAATCAGAGTTGTATGTTGTCTGTATGGTGGACACTGCAAAAAACAGCCCATCAGATGGCTCACTAATGGCTCAATGTGTCACAGTGTGTCTGGTTGTATTCCAAATGAAACAATACACACTATGCACTGTGAATTATGCCTATGACAAGTCATTTCAAAATATGTGAGCCCCCTCCCCCTCTGTTTAAGTTAATCTGTGACAGTTGTATGTTAAACAGTGCATGAATTATCCATCATCCCAATTTTATTGACTTTTTTTGGTTAAGTGCATCATCTGACTACTTTAAGTGCACTTTTTTTCAACATGAATACACTAATTACACTATTTATAGTACTTAAAGGCATAAGTGTACTAATCAGTATGTACCTTTTTTTGGCATACCATTTTTTTTTTTAAGTCAAGCATAGACAAAGGATGTGATTTAAAATGCCTGTACAGTCATACAAGATGCAAACAGTAAGTATGATATGAAGAATGACCAGGTATCTGTGTTTACTTTACTCAAATAGCACACCTGACCAGCTTCAAAAAATAAATAGACGCTAAAGAACAACTACATGATCAGAGTGGCGATGTATTGTAACAACATGCACATTACCAGCATGTTTCGGCACAGTTTAGTCAGCTGTGCTTATGAATTCTAACTGTGCCATGCTGAGCCAAGCTCAAATGGAAAAACAGAACTATAACTGTTTTTTTTTTTCTTTCTTACCATTCCTGGAAACATGCAACCAGATGGTGGGAAATTGGCTTGTATGCTTAAGTGTGAAACACGTGCTGCTGGCTAGAAATAATTTACTATTACTTCTATTAATAACATATCAATATATTATATATACTCAATAAGTTAAGGTAACTTAAACCATTTAAGGAAACCGATTGCAACAAACCATTTAAGTTCAAAAATGAATCCTAATCAGTACTGTGAACTTTAAGTAAATCAAGCAATTTGAGCACGGTAAAACCCAATAAAGAGAACTCAAACCAACTGAGTACTTTAAAACCCAATAAGTCAATGCAAGTCAAACCGTTT